TGCCTGTCAGCGTGTGTGTGTGTATGTGTGTTCACACACGCAGTGCGTGTGGGTCGATGCAGCCCATCATCCTTCTCTGTGCGTGCGTGAGCCAAATACATCCACAGCAGCAGGGAGTGCGTGTGAGATCACAACACCCACCACAGCCACGTCCCACTCTCTCCCTCCTTCACACACACACACAACACGCACCGACACAGCAGTCAAATCAATTGACAGAACTCACCCAAACTCACGGTGCCACCGTACCATGGGCCTGTGCAGCACATATGTCAGCCTCACCGACCGTGGGCAACGCCTTGCATGCCTTTGGCCCTGCACACATCCATGGTGTGGGCGCTGCTGTGCGTGTTCTCTTCTTGCACCTGTGCACCATCACATCATCACCCACCACACCCCACACAGTCCACGGAACCAAACGAGACCACCCACAACAGAACCGCCAGTGAGTGCCCGTCACAACGCGCACCCTCTCCCTCCTCTCCACCAACCATGCGCCAGCCACGCACACGAACAACGCAACCCACCACCTCCCGCTCAAACATACACACACGTGCTTGTTGCTTGTTTGTGTGTGTTTGGTCTTGTTGGTTCGTGTTTGGGCGATTTGTGGAAGATGCCACAAATAATCGCCCGCTGCTGCGTTTGTGCGGCAACTGCTGTTTGCTTTCTGCGTTTGCTTGTTTGAAGGGCGGACTTGCTGGCTTGGTTGGTTGGTTGCTTGGTTTCAATGAGACAAGAAGAAGAAGGAGAAGGAGAAGAGGAAGGGGGAACAGCACTGTGTGTGTGAATGCAACGCAGGCTCACAGGCCTTGCAGGCTGAGGAGGAAGGGACAAGAAGGGGACAAGAAAGGGGGATGGAAAAGAAGAAGAAACAAACACACACACACACACACACACGCACACACACAGCTGTGGACAGCATGCATCCCCTCTCCTCCTCTTCTCTCTTCTTCGCTTCCCCCTCACAGTCACAACAGACAACCAACAGCCACAAAGGGCTGGGAAGAGAAAACAAACAAGGGGAGGGGGGCAACAGTCACCCAGCCAGATCGCCATGGAAGAAAGAGGCGAGGCGATGGAGAGGGAAGGAAAGGGGAACATCGTCCATCAACACACACGCACACACACACACACACACGCACACACATCTATTTGGGAGCCCCACGTCTTCTGTCCCTTGCTTCCCTCCCCTCCTTTCCTTGGTCTGGGTTGAGGTGGGTTGGTTGAGGTAGCAACAGCTTGCCATGGCGTGTCATGCGTGGGTGTGGGGGTGGATGTAGATGTGGATGGGGTCCTCTCTCTGCGTGTGTGAAAAGGAAGTGGAGGAAAGCAGTGGAAGGGGTGGCAGCAGCAGGAGAGGAAGAAGGAAGGGGAGGGGGTGGATGTGAGCATGCCATGCGTGAGTGAACAACAACGACGTCACATGGGGCGTAGGACGATGATGATGTGGCTTTTGTGCGTTGTGTAATGGCACAAGCACACAAAGGTCAACCACAATCACAATCACACACACACACACCTCGTCGTCGATCAACGCATCTGCCTGACATATGCGCACACGCGCACGCACATCTGCAGTCACACACACACACACACAGTCACACATAGCATTGCAGAGTGAGACAGTAGACCATGCACACGCATACACAGCAATGCAACCACAACCACCACAACCACAACAACGACAACATCTCTCCCCATCTCCATTCCCAAAATGCACGGTCACATGGCCAGGTGCACAGCCGTGGTGGTGATGATGGTCATGATGAACGCCTCCCTCCCACTTCCCCTCAACCCCCTTCCACCAAAAACACGCACACCATTGCGTGCCCTCACCTCGTGCATCGTGTCGCTGTCGGCGTGGTTGATGGCGATGCACACACATGTGCACGCACACATGCACACACATCGCCGTGTGTGTTCCCAGTTGAGATGAGCAACGGAGGGAGAGAAATGGGCGACACGACACGATGGCCAGTCGACCCCAATCCAGCATCACCGTCGTGTGTTGCCTGCTGCAGTCATCATCACAATCACACAATCACAATCACACAATCACAATCACACAGGTGCAAGCAAAAGGAATGAGTCACTGATATGTGTGTCATTGTCATGTGATGACACCATCACACGATTCACGTACATGTATGTGTACACGCACCCCCATCTCTCAACCAACATCATCGCCCTCCACCACTTCCCCTCCCTCTCCCTCCTTTCGCTCTGCACTCCCACATCGCCTCACCATCACCACCACCATCACCGTGTCACTTCCCTCCTCCCCCTGCTTCCCCCACTCGCCACAACTCAGCCCACCAACCAACCAACCAACCCACCGCCAACGATCATCCTCACCTGTGCTTAATGCAGCCAGCCAGCCCGCCAACGTGCCACAGCGAAGAGCCAAAACGAGGAAAGCGCAATCACGTGCCACGGCCACCATCATCATCGCTGATGGAGCAGAAAGAGGAGATGAAGGGGGAAGAGTGGTGGGCACGGGTCGTGTCATTCCTTGTCTTCATCCGTGTAGCCCCAAACACGGTGCACAGCGCACACGCGCACGCACGGCCATCATCACAGCAGCACCACCAGCAACAACAGCGAGCTCGCCTGCCTGCCTGCCTGTGGGGCAAGAAGAAACCAACCAGAGAAGAACAACAATGACCGGTGGTGGTGAGGACAGGAAAGGAGGGGCACAAGGGATCACGCATGGGAATATGCAGCATGTTGTGGGCGGGTGCACCAGATACACAAAAGACCAACGAAACAATCAAGCAGCCAAGCGCGCACGCAACACCACATCCACCACTGCTGCAATCCACCACTGCTGCCATACCTGTGTTGGCAGCTGTCTCGATCATGCCTCAACAGCTCCATATCGCATGGGAAAGGCTGATGATGATGATGACACAGAGCAAAGGCGATTGGTTGGGAAAGGAGGAAGGGGATTCGGTTGGGGAAACCCACACACGTCCGCCTGCAGCCACGCACACACACACACACACACATTTGAGTTGTGTGATTGATTCATGTGAGACACACGTCAGTGCCACCACCCCACAGCCAATGTCTGCTTTGATGTGTTGGCATACATGTGTACATGCGTGTATATGCGTGCGTATGTGTACCACTCCACACACACACACACACACACACACACACACACACACACACACACACACACACACACACACACACACACACACAGCGGCAGCGTCTCACCTGGTGTCTTCTTTTCTCGCACATTTGTGTGTGCGTGTATCGCCCTGCTCGTGTCATGAGGGCTTGGGAAGAGAACGGCCACCGTCCTGTGCAAAATCACACACATGTACACATGCGCAAGCACAAAGGAACAAATCAGCAAGAATGACACCACGCAGTGAGCCAGCATGGCAGAAACAAACCACATCCACCTCCTTGTGCCACAGTCACATCATCCACATCATCACCTGTGCACGCACATGTCACATCCCCACAGACATCACATCACCGCCACCGCCACAAGCATCACACCTGCACATGCGTGTGCGTGCGCTACGTACATCCACCACAAATCACTCACCACCAGCAGCAGCGTCGTCACGCAAGGCAACAACATATCGACGCACATCACACCCTGTACGTGTGCGTGTGAAGAAAGAGGCGAGTTGGCACAGAATCAGGATATCAACGACAACAAAACCCATTGCCACCACCAACAGACCCAACGACATCCAACCAGCACTTCACAATCACACACATACGACATGCTGATGTTCACACCCAGCACACCACACACCACCACCACCACCATTCATCTCACCTCCACATCCATGGCCGCAGCCGCTGCTGTTGGTGACCAATGACGACGACGACGAGGAGAAGGTGGAGATGGACGAGAGACAGAGGGCCAGTTCATCCACAATGCAGCCAGACATCGGCTGTTGCTGCTGCTGGTGTTGATGGTGGAAACGGTGAAAACAAACGGCCCCTTGCCACGCCGTGTCCTTTGCTCGCTCGCTCGGCTGCTTGCTTGGTCGGTTGGATGAAGACGGATTCGTGGTCCTGTGTCCAAATCAATCGAAAAACAGGGGAGAGGAAGAATAGACACATGAGTGGACAGAACAGACAAGGAAAGAGGGAGGCGAAGAAGGAAACACAGCATGTCAACCATACACACACACATCTCAGTCGCCCTTCTCACCTCCAGCACTCGTCATCGTCATCGTCGTTGGTTCCACCGCTTCATGCGCCTCCTCAACGCTGTCAAATCTATGTGTACAGACACAAGAAGGGAGAGAATGCAGGGGGGGGGGGGTGAGGTTGACAGCGAAGCATCATCAACCACCCGCCAGCCCAATCCAACCACCCGCACTGACACACAACCACACGCACACATGTTGTCCCCACTCACCCCACCATGCACACACACACACACACATGCTCACCTCTTCGTGAGAGCGAGTGACATGTGCAATGTCTGCATCACGCCAGATTGGAGCTGGTGTCGGCCGGAGTGTGATGGCGGCTGTGCCGTCGATGGTGATAGGGTGATGACGGTGGCAGCGGAGCTGAGGCGGAAGAAAGAAAAAGGAGAGAGAAATGAGGAAGGGTTGATGATGATGATGCGTGGTTCATGGCGGCTGCTTTCCCCTCCTCTGATGTGATCCTGGTGCTCATGCAACCAACACACAGCGACAAGACACAACGACATCGTCACACACAAGGTACAGGCATGGCATGTGAGCACAGCAGGCGTGTTCACCTTCCTGCTCCCTCCTCTGCTTTCCTCCTCCTCACTCCATGACACACACACACACACACACACACCTGCGCATAGCTGCGTCGCTGTGATTGGATGTGCCCACCATGACCATGGACGTGTGTGTCCACAGCTGCTCCTCCCAATCCATCATGTGTGCAGCACCCATCATCCTCCAACGATCCTCACGCAGTCGCCCCCCTGCATACACACACACACACGCACACATGACATGTGAGCTGCACAACTACACTGGTGCACGAGATACAGCAGCAGCAACACCGAGCACCCACACACCCACAGCAGCAACACCAACACATGCACCATGTGCCAACCAACGCAGCCATGATGGGCTCACCTTGCTCACGCATATGGGAACACTGCATGAGCACAGCTGCAGCAGCCGAATCGGGGGAGTTGCTGCTGCTGCAGCCGGCATGCGAGCCCGCTTTCATCAACATCCTGATGTGTGCTGATACCTCACCACCTGTGCATATGTGTGTGTGTGTGATTGCGTGGTTGCAGGGAACGTGAGTGGCAACACAACGCAACAGGCACAGAGCAAGCCATCACGTCAGCACAGCAGAACAAGTGATTGACGTCACACGCACCACGTGTACGTGTGTGTGTATGTGTGTGTGTGTGTGTGTGTGTGTGTGTGTGTGTGTGTGTGTGTGTTAGTGTGTGTGACCATCATCCCTATCAACTCCTCTTCCTCTTGTTCGCTTCACCCCACCCATCACAACCACCAGCCCATCACACAACCAACCAACCACTCATCACCACCCACATACCATGTGTGAGGCGAGTGCAGCTGGCACGCATGACAAGTATCCTCGACATTTCCCTCATCCTGATGCTTGTGCGTGCGCATCGCCTGTAAGTGGGGTTGTGTGTGCGAGCACCAGCATGGTGAGTGAGTGGGAGGGAAGGCAGGGAGCATGGACATGTGCGCAGTCACACTGCTGCTGCCACTACTGGTGTTGTGCATGCATATGTGTGTGAAGGAGAAGAAAGGGAAGAGAGATAAAACAGAAAACAGAAGGGAAGGAGCAAGACATGCTGCACCCGCCCCATCCATCCATCGCTCTTCCTCACACCACCACACACCATCGTCCCTTGTCACCAACCAGCCACACCACACCGCACCACACCACACTCACCCAGCATCCCCCACCCCACCCCACCTCATCCCATCCATCCATCCAACACACATCTCCTCTCCGTTTCCCCTCTTCTTCTCGCCCTCACCTGCTGCTGCTGCTTCCCGCCGAAAATGCAACTTGTGCTGTCGCCACCTGTTCCCAGCTGTAAACAGCCAGCTTCTGCCAGCAGCGGCGGGCGATGGGTTGGTTGGTTGGTTGGTTTGGTTGGCTGGGGAATGTGTTCAGCTGCAAGTGATGGTGGTGGTGCATCCTCTGCTGCTGCTGCATCGGCGGTGGAGGGTGTGTTGGCTGCTGCTGCTGTTGTTGTTGTTGTGATGGCTGCCAGGGAGGGCGAGGAAGAGAGGGGAAGACGAACAGCGGCTGCAAGGTGGAGAATGTGCAGGCGTGCAGACAGTTGTGTGTGAGAACGAAGAATGAGACAGCGCATCACGCAAGGCAAAACAGGCAGCCGCACGACACACATGCATGCACATTGATGTGGGACAACAAGGGGAGACAGGAGCAACAAAGACAGCGACCACAAAACACGCACACTGGTGTTGTGCGCAGCATACACACGCATGCATGTGCAGTGATGCACTCACGTTGCTCATCGCTTGCTTGCTTTGTGGTGTGTGTTGGCGCTGCTGCTTCCGTAATCGCACAAGGGTGGCTGGATGGTCATTGCATGGCAGCGCCCGTCTGTTCATCCCACCAGAGCAGTGGTGGTTGGTGGAGGGAGGGGGTGGGGGTGACAGCTGCTGGTTCAAGGCCCTCTGTGGCGACAGCAGAAAGAAGAAAGGGGAAGCAAGAGAGGAAGGTGGTGGTGTTGGTGGTGGTGTTGAGGATGGGAATGGAAGGAAGTGAGTAAATACACAAGCAAATGAGGAGGTGGTGATGATGGCGTGTGGGTGGGTGAAGAAGAGAACGTGCACGTCGACACACACACACACACACACACACACACACACACACACACACACACACACACACACCCTCACCTGCCACGCGTTGTCGCCGCTGAACAAGTTAATCCTGGCAGACTCCAGTGCTGACAGCAGCAAATAGCACAGCCATAACACACGAGTGGGCAGATGGTGAGAGTAGTTGAATGGACATGAGAACAAGCGAGCAACGCACACACCACACCATACTCCCCGCACTCACTCGACAGCCCCTGTCCCAACAACGTACTCCCTCACCTGTGTGCACTTGGGTGGAGAGGGACTTGAAGAACTCCTCAAACACAAACACAACGCGTCTCTGCATCATCTCCACCACCTCATCAGGGATCGACCGCAGGATCCTTGGAAGCTGAACACAGTTGTGTGTGTGTGTGTGTGTGTGTGTGTGTGTGTGTGTGTGTGTGTGTGTGTGTGTGTGTGTGTGTGTGTGTGTGTGTGTGTGTGTGAGCGACGTGATGTGCAAGCCTTCACCAACCCACAATCCCCATTAAAACCACATCCCCCCTCACGCATCACTTCTCATTCCCCATGTCACCGATCTATCACCACACCTCGAGGAGCCTGTGCTCGGGAATGCGGATGCTGAACGTCTCCCAGTCCAGCAGGTCCTGGTAGGGCTGCAAGCGTGCAAAACGCAAACACCACAACATCACGTCACAGCATGATAAGCGACGGGAGGGGGAATCCACACAGTGATGTGACACACAAGAAGCACACACACACACACACACACACACACACACACACACACACACACATACACACACACACACACACACACACACACACACACACACAATGCGGCATCCATCCATACGCACCAGCACGTAGTGATCGACAACAATGACGGGGATGGCACCCGCAGCCATGATCTATGAGGTATGAAAGGGGTGACAGGAGATGGAAGGTGGGTGAGACCACAAACAGGCCCGAAATCGTCTGCAACACACACACACACACACACACACACACACACACACACACACACACACACACACACACACAGACATACAGACACACACACACACACACACACACACACACGCACGCACACACACACGCACACACACACGCACACACACACACATACACCTGAAGGAGTGGTAGCCAAATCCTTCGACGATGAGCCCAAACTTGGTCTCCAGCGCCAGCGCCGTGTACGTGTACTTGTTGAACTCTTCCTCTGCCTGCTTACATGAGGGGTCATATCCAACCTTCCCCTCACGGCCCATGCGCTCTTCGGCAAACCACCGGCATGCGCACACCAACACAATGTCCCTGCAAACATGCAAACGCAGCCGATGTGTGTGCGTGTGTGTGAGGTGGGGCCAGAAAGACACGCACACAGCACCAAAACCAGTTGACTCCGAGGCAACGCACGAGACACACACGGAACACGATAACACACAACAAATCACACGCGTAGCACACCATACCTGCCATTGTGCAGCTTGGGGAGGTGGTTGCGCATGGCATCAAGAGCGAGCACACTTGGTGCCCTGCACATCAGGGAAAGAAGACAGACGTCAAGCAGCGGCACCACAACATGTTTGGAGTGAGGTTGCAGCGGCACAAGAAGGGCGAAGTGATGGTGCAGTGAGCGACGCCAATCCCTCAAAACCCAGCAGCAGCAGCAGTGAACATCAAACCCCACATCACACCACGTCACAACACGCACACATGCATGCACACACCTGAAGGTGACGAGTTATTTCCTATTCGTGCGGGCGGAACGCGTCGCTGCTCCGGTGTGAATGAATGAATGTCACCATGGAGAAGAGTGGGATGGACACATCGAGGCCGTCACAGTGGTGGAATTCACTGAAGTGGTGTGATGAGATGGAACAGACCGGATTGATGAAGCGTGTAAGCATCAGCAGTCGCACATGGTGCGTGCCACCTGAAAGCACTTCTCTTGCAGCACACACACACACACACATACACACACACCTACCTGTGTCAGCATCGTGGATTGACGAGGAGGAATGTGATGGACGTGCCAGGGCATGCGACACAGCAAGCCGTTGCCAGCCAACACACACCACCATACCACTTCTGGAACGGACAGCATGGTTGTGTCCGCCGCACTTGCGGCTGGATCGACGATGAGGATGGATGGCGAGTTGCATGGAATGCCGTAGCTATTGTCCGCAGCCACGCCGCTGATCCACTTGCATCTGCCGTGTAGCAGCTCACCAAGCGTGGTGGTGTCTGCTGTGTTCGTGCTGCGATCAGTGGTCACACACGTAGAGGAGGGTGCTGTGAGCCAGCCAGCACGCCGCCTGCAGTGCCCACTTGGCTCAAGCAGCTTGCAAACTGTTGATGGTGGTCGTGTCATCCACTGCCGCTGTCACTGCTGTTGTTGCTGTCACTGCTGTCACTGCTGCTGCTGATGGGCTGATGATGAGCACAGAGGTGGTGGGAGTTGCATCAGAGGGATGCCGTGGATGAGGCCAGTGCTGGTAACGACGCCACAATCACCAATCGCAGTTGCCAGTGCCCTGCCGAGTGCATCTTGGATGCTGTTGCCAGACGGCGGGTTGACTGACAGTGCTTTTGCAGCACAGCAGTTGGTACCCCCTTCCCTTTCGCTCCTCGCAGAGCACTGCTCCTTGTCAAGCCGTTCGCCTCTGCGTGTGCGTGCATGTGCATGCTTGTGCGTGTCTGTGCGTGTCTGTGCGTCTGCCTTCCATCACACAACAGTGAACCCCTTTCAGCAACAAAGCAGAAAGTGCTGACTCGGCACAATTATGTTTGTGTTTGTGTTTTGTGGGGAAGAAGACAAGAAGACAAGAATGCGTGCAATGGCAGCAGGGACAGCGCTGCTGTTTGTGGTGGCTGTGCTGTGTGCTGCTGTTCAGCCACTGTGGCGAGCGTCGTCTCAAGCTCACGTCCAGTGCACCAAGATGAAGGTGTGTGTGTGTGTGTGTGTGTGTGTGTGTGTGTGTGTGTGTGTGTGTGTGTGTGTGTGTGTGTGTGTGTGTGTGTGTGTGTGTGTCTGTGTGTGTGTGTGTGTCTGTGTGTGTGAAACGAGTTGCGTGCTTATTCCCTCGTCCCATCGCTGCTCTCACTGACCAACACCTCTTCCCCCCCCCCACATCGTCACAGGATGCTTCAGGGACAGTGCTGACAATCGAACGTTTGCGTTTGCTGGCAACATGGCGCAGACGTCCATGACGCGTGAGGCGTGTGCCACGCTCTGCTACACCTTCAACTTTTCGCTCAGCGCCGTTGAGTACGGCTACCAATGCTTCTGCGGCACCCAAGCTGAATTCCACCGCGCAGTCTCGGCGGTGTGTGTGTGTGTGTGTCTGTATCTGTGTGTCTGCATCTGTGTGTGTATGAGTGTGTGTGCATGCATTAATGTATGCGACCAGCATTCACACTCCCCCCTCCCCCACCCAACATACACTTTTGTGCAGCCTTCCTCCGACTGCAACGAACCATGCACGGGGGCTTCGACCGAGATGTGCGGAGCAGCCAATCGCATGAACATCATCCAAGCAAACTGTTCCGGCAAACCCCTTCCCACAGGTGATTCCAACAAACACAAACACACACACAACACACAACACACAACACCACCCACTCAGCTCATACGTGACTGCTGTTGCACCTTGCCTCGTCAGGCCATGCGTGCCTGTCTGCGGCGACGAAGGAGTTGCCGTTCTGCAACGCGAGTCTGTCCATTGGTGCCCGCCTCAACGACCTCATTGGACGCCTCAGTCTTCAGGAGAAGGCCGGCCTCGTTGGCCCCGATCCCGTCACCAGTCCATGCGCCTTCCTTGACTATGGCGTCAAGAGGTGGGAAAGGACATTCAGCGCCCACGCAGTGACTCGTGACTGCCTGCTTGTGTTCCCCCCCCCACTTCTTCGTGCCACAGCGGCATCAACCGCCACCACCACTGCTCACACCGCAACACCACCTCCCTCTTCATGCTCGCACATGTGTGCGCGCGTGTATGGGTCGCAGGCTCGACATTCCGCCGTATGTGCAACTGGTGGAGACGAACACGGCCGTTGCCTCTGCGTGCATCATCAGCCAGGACAAGTGTGCCACGACGTTCATTGAGGCCCACAGGTCTTGGCGCAGCCGTCAACCGAGTGTGTGTGTGTGTGTGTGTGTGTGTGTGTGTGTGTGTGTGTGTGTGTGTGTGTGTGTGTGTGTGCGTGTGCGTGTGTGTGCGTGTGTGTGTGTGTGTGTGTGTGCCTACGTCTGCTATGTCGTCTTCTTCTCCTTGATCAGAGCTCCTGTCGTTCATTCCCTCCTTGTCCCCCACGCACCCGTCCTTCGCTTCCAGGTCATATCCACGGAGATGCGCGCCTTCAACAATCTCAACTGGCACAGGGGCGGCGGTGTCTTGCAGAAGATCGGACTCACAGGTGCGCCCTTCATCACGTGTTGCTGATGCTGGTGCACACCACCCACACCCATGCGATCACTCTACAACAGTTGCACCCATGCCACCAACCCCCTTCACACTCACCCCCACTCACTCACTCACACACTTTGCAGGCCCACCCACTCATCTTCACTGCACCCCTCTCAACCTCTGAGGCCACTTCTTGAGCGGCGATTGCGCTGCTGCTTACTTGGCCGGCTGCCAGAACGGCCCAGACAGGAATGGCAGCAGGTACGGACACGCATCCACACTCACACATGCGTGTATGCAAACGCCCACAACCGTGTCAGCGACGCTGCTTCATTTGCACTTCGTGGCAGTCGTGTCATTTACACTGCTGTCACCACTCCATCGCGTTTTAGGTCTCAAGCACGTTAACGCGCACTAGGTCGAGACAACCGCGTGGCATTCAACGGGAACATCTCCACCTCTGACCTCTGGGACACCGAGGTGTGTGTGTGTGTGTGTGTGTGTGTGTGTGTGTGTGTGTGTGTGTGTGTGTGTGTGTGTGTGTGTGTGTTTTCAGCTCGTGTGCATCGCATCAACGTTTCTTGTCAGTTCGCCCACGCCACCATGCCTGCGCCATCTTCCTCACCTCCCACCTCCTCATCTTCATCCCGCTCTCCTCTGCCTTGTGTTTCATGTGCAGTACAGGCGCAGGCACTTGCTGCCATGTGCTCGTACGCCAGCATCAACGGCGTGCCCTCTCCGTGTGCAAACAACATGCTGCTCAACGACGTCGTGCGCGGGCAGTGGAAGCGTGACATGGTAACGATTGGAACTGACTGCAGTGCGATTTGCAAACATGGTCGACACCAACAAGTACGCCCGTGACTCCCGTCAACGCTGCCGCGAAGACGCCGAACGGTGGCGTGGATATGGAGCTCGGGGAGACATACTTCACCACAAACGGCTACTTGGCGCAGGCTGTGAAGCAAACCCGCACGACAATGGACACGATGCACAACGCCGTGCGGCGGGTCCTCAAAGATAGCTTCATCACAGGCCAATGGTATGTTTACTTGTGCTGGCTTTGTGCGTGCGTGTGTGTGTGTGTGTGTGTGTGCTTGTCCTCAAAGGCTCTTGTGAGTTTTGTGACCTTGAAGATGATGAAGCAGTGTTTGTTTCCTCAACACCTCACAACCGTGCTGCCATTGCCTCTCATGCCATCCTCCCCTCCACACCACACCCTCTCCTCCAGGCATCGACGAGTGCACGGCCTGCGGACCCAAGCCTCACCTCCAGTAACGCCCGCTGCATCAGCGAGTGTCCCGACGGCAAGTATGAGCTCGGCCAACGGGTGTGCCGAATGCCACCCCACCAGACGCCACCGACTGCCTCATGTACGACAGCAACCTCACCAGTCGCGCATTGCCCATTGCCCTCTCGATTACTTCTACGCCAAGGCCCACCGCTGCGTGCCATGCACCACGTGTGGCATGGGCACCTGGGCCTCCATCCCATGCTCCGCATCCTCCGACGCCGTCTGCTCTCCCTGGACCGAGTGCAAGCCTGGCCAGAAGTCTGTCTCTGGCAACGCCGTGCGCGACGACGCATGCGTGAGCTGCACCCTCGGCATGGAGTACCAGCCGCTGTCGGACCGCGCCTCGTGCTTCTCCACCAGCATGTGCGAGGACCCCTTCATCGAGACCATCCCGCCCACGCTCACCACAGACCGCCTGTGCTCCTGTGACACGTTCACCTGCAACAAGCTCATCACGCAGCTGTTTGAGGAGATGGTGTGCGCCGAGCCCACGGACGAGCAGCTCGACGTGGTGCTTGACGTGTGCTGCCCCGACCAGGGCGAGGACGGCATCCGCGACACCATTCGCCAGATGGACGCCTACGAGGCACGCCACTCCTGCCCAGGCTGCACAGACACGTGCGAGTGCAGCGCTGGCTCCATCCTCGTCTACGACGCCGACTCGGCCGACTGTCGGCCATGCGACGGCGTGACGGAGTTCTCCCCATCCATTGGCGGCAGCAAGTGCGCGCCCATTGAGGAGTGCGAGCGCGGCCAGGAGGAGGTTTCTGCGCCAACCCGCTGCTCCTCGGACCGCGTGTGCCGCGACTGCCCGGCCGGCACCATCGACGCGGACAGCGACGGTTCCACCGGTTGCCAGATGTGCCCCGCCAGCCACTACACGGAGGCGGGCTCCCACGGCTCCTGCTCCAGCTTCACCTGCCACGCCAGCACCCACGACCACCACGACAGCGACCCTGCCACCCCGTGCAACGACGTCACAGAGTGCGCGCCCGGGTTTGAGCAGGTGCAGGCGATGACACTCCTCATCAGTGACCGCGTCTGCGACGAGAAGTTGGAGGGCACGTACAAGGCCGTCTCTGGCCAGCCAGGGCGTGCCCTGCCTCCCTGTCACCACGTGCGACGCCCGCGTGGAGGAGACAGCCGACGCCCCCCCCCCCCCCCAACCGAGCGACCACGTGTGCAGCCAGTGCGAGCTTGGCGCCACCTTCAAGCCCGTCGAACGGCCGGGCCGAGTCATGCCGCCCCGTCACTCAGTGCGGTCCGGATGAGAACGAGATTCGCTTCGTAAACGCACGCGCCAGCACGACCGCCTCTGCCGCAAGTGCGTCCAGGACACGTGCGTGGGCGTGACGCGTTGCACTGCCTGGGTGTACATTTCCATGCACGGCCGTGAGCGAGTGCGAGTTTGGCACCTTCCAGAGCCAGGTGCCCACGCTCGACTCCAACCGCGAGTGCACGCTGGAGTGCTCCGAGTGCCCCAGCGGCCGCTTCGAGATTCGCGCCTGCTCCGCGCTGGAGGACGTGCAGTGCGCCGGCTGCTCAGCGTGCCCGCCGAACACATACATCCTGCGCGCCTGCGACTCGGGAGAACGACGTCTCTTGCCAGCAGTGTAGCGCGTGCTCTAGTGAGCAGTACCGCAGCGCGCCATGCACCGCCACCAGCGACACGGAAGTGCACGATACTCGACGTGTGCGACCAGGACCAGTTTGGGCTGTTCCCCGCCCCCACGCCAACCACGGACCGCATCTGCCGCGACCTGACCCAGTGCAACCCGTCGACGGAGTGCGAGCACACCGCCTGTGCCACCTCATTACCAAGTGCGACCCTGGCGAGCAGCGCGCATTCGAGCACCCACCTCAACCTCCGACACCAAGTGCAAGCCGTGCCCCATCGGCACCACCGACCACGACCGCAACCCGCTCACCGCCTGCCAGCCGTGCCCCCTACGGCCACTATGTGCCCGCGGGCTCCATCGACTCCTGCGAGCAGTTCCTGTGCCCAGCCGGCACCGCGGACCTGGACCGCAACGCCAGGCTGGCGTGGACTTTGCCGCCCTCTCTAGCCCAGCGCGATTGCACTGATGTGACGGAGTGCGACCTCGGCTGTCATGAGGGAATGCGCCCTACCATGCGCCTCACCATCCTCACCGACCCACCAGTGCTGCCGCGGCATCGAGGGCCTGTTCTGCAGCGACAGCAACACAGACTTCTGCACACGCGGGTGTCGCCTGTGAGCCTGGCTCGTTTGAGACGGCAGCGTCCACCACCATCAGCACGGACCGCGAGTGCCAGATGGGCCACACGTGCCCCGACAACACCCCGTTCATCTCGCGCCCGCTCACGCCCACGACGCAGAAACACAGACATCTGCTCGCCGTGGACGCAGTGCAGTGCCTGTGCAACAGAGTACGAGCTCGTTGCGCCGTCGCTGGTCAACGACCGCGAGTGCCAGCACATGCGCTCGTGCAAGGACACGGAGCGCGAGGTGTCGGCGCCCACGGCCACGACAGACCGCCTCTGTGCCACCATGAGCGACGCAGTTTGAAGCGCTCCCACCGTGCGTGCGTGCCCGCGTACTCCGTCTCGCTCGTCTTTGACGCCAAGTTCAACGCCCTTGCCGGCACACAGTCGCGCCGCGAGGCGTTTGAGGCCGCGCTGGTGCAGTCCATCAACACGACGCAGGACGCGTCGCAGATTCATTCTGCGCATCGACCTGCGCCAGGGCACCATTATTGCCACCGTCGCTTCCATCAACGAGGACTTTACGGCGCGCCTCTTCAACCGATCCGTCTCTGGCGACATCACTGATATGGGCTTCACCGCGTCAAAGTGCGAGGCCGACGCGTTCCTGGAACCTCGTCTCTTTGGTTGCACGGGTGCACACGCGATCCCACCCATTACACACAGCAACTGCTGCAGCCACTGGCACGCACGCACGCACGCACGCACGCACGCTTGCGATTGCACGCGGACGCCACATCCCCCACCAGGACAACAACCGCAGCCACCATCATCGCACACGCTGTGATCGAGTGCTGCCAGCACATGCCACCTTCACCTCCCACATCTTCGTCATCATCATCATCCCTGCTGCCACCACCACCACCCACGACAGCAAACTGCTCAAGGCATTGGATGCTGTTGGCTTCTGGGACACCACGGCGTTTGTTGGAAGTGACACCAGCAGCAGTGATGGTGGTTGTGGTAGTGCACGCCATGGTAACAGCACCGACAGCTGAGGCGATGGTGGTGGTGATGGTGCTTGCATTCATCGCGAGTTCCAGCAACAACAAGGAGGTGGCCACCGTGCTTCTGGTGGGCACGCGTGTGCTGGCTGTTGTTGGTACCATGGCTGGCAACAGCTGCTGCTGCAATGCGAGGCAACGGCAGTGAAGAAGGAGATGGATGTATGTGGTGTGCATGGCGCGCAGCGACGCTTCCTTTGTGGTTGGCTGTGCAATTGCATGTGTGCGCACACCGATGACGACGACGATGAGACGGCGGCCAATCAAATCACTTCCCATCTGAAGAGCCACCGCGTCGTGGCTGGTGCACGCGTGCATCTCTTTCTTCCTGCAGGTCGACCATCGACAGAGCAGCGTTGCAGTGTGCCATGCGGTGTTTGATGATGCGTCGTTGTTGTTGTTGTTGCCACTGCGTTTGCTGTTTGTTGACACGCACGCCGTGCATACTCAATTTCTTTCCTTCCTCCCTGCCTTCCTTCCCTCTTGCTGTTCTCTGCTCTGCCACTCTCCCTTGTCAGTGTTGTGTGTTTGGTTGCTGGTTGCCGTGTTGTGGTGATTCCATCTTGCATGTTCAATCGTTTCCCAACAGTACAGTGGGACAGAGCCAAGACATGAAGAAACGACAGCAACCCTCACACGGGCACACACGCAACACCAACACGCACATCCAAGCAAGAGAGGAAAGCAGAGCACAGAACACAGCACTGCTCAAGACAACAGCCATATTGTATGGTGTTACTTGCAGTGCAGCCAAACAACCAAGTGCAAGGTGGCCTGCACCAACAACAACAAGGGCGCAGGCATCCACAAACCACCCCTGTCAAACTTGTCACACACGCAATGTGTGTCAAGGGAGGCAACCACTGCAGGGGCACAGAAGACACACGAAGCAGGTCAGTCCATGGCGCTATTGCTGCTGCTGTACTTGAACGCCTCGCACCAGTCCTTCAAGCAAGAGCCTCCAGTGTCAACTGCACTCGGTTGCCGTCCTTGTTAACTGGCAGGTGCTGTTGTCGTTTGCACCGTGTCTCGCGGATGGCCTGTGTGATGAAGCAGAATGCGTCCAGCACCACCGCGATTATGCCAGATGGATTGGGCAGTCCAGGACAAAAGAAGACAACACTGCAGCCTCCATCATCTTCTTTGCCATGTCAAGATGATGTCAGGTACGGCAATGCAGTGACATCGTAGTCGTCAAGCTTGTGCGCATCTGCGGGAGGTGTTGCTGGTGGAACAACAACGGGCACAATGGCGTAGGAGTGGCATCTGGGGTCTGTCGTTGGGCGGAGGTGGCACAGGTCAAACTGCTGTGTGGAGGATCATGGCGCGGTTCAGGGTCGGTCCCAGCGCCCACAGGGCAACCCTGCCTCGCGAAACGCTGCTTGAAACAGTGAGCAGGTGCTGGTGGTCGCACGTGACCATGTCATCTGCTCTGTCATTGCGATGCAGTATGGTGGTGTGCTGTAGTCGCACTTGATCACGCTCTCAACAGAGTTGACGAACAAGACGCTGCTGTGACGGGCAAAGACGCCGAACTTGACCGGAACGTTTCTGCTCACTTTGAGCTTGCTGAGGACCTTGTGGTCGGCGACGTCACACACAAACACGTCACCTCGCGCAGTGCCGATCGCCAGCAGGCTGTCATCAGTTGGGTGGGTCGCCATGGTGGTGGCGGTCATGTTGGCGTGCAGATCAGCCTCGTTCACAAACAAGTCATCCAACACCGCCGCACGCGTCAGC